GAAAGGACAAACCAAACACTGTAGTTGGGGCCTTTGATGTTTTTTGCGAGTTTCATGGCTACCATAGTTTCTCCTACGCACTTGGAAGGCTAGTGGTATTCATTTGCTTGCAATCTGCTTGCAATCTGCAACTTCACCACTACATCCCGTTAAATCCTACACACTGGTTCTTTAAGCATTATCTTGGTCTTATTTTTTATTGTGTCCAACATGGAATTTTTGCTCTTACTTGTCAATGAGGTCAATTTTATTGTGGACCTCTATCATGGAGCTCATCAGCCTGTCAGGGACTTGCAGGTTCTTGAGGACATTCAGTACGTTCACCTTCTGATTCACCGTCTCTGGATGACTGATGTCTCGGACGTGAACCAGCAGATCCTGAAGGTGCGAGAAAAAACTCTACTCAGTCACGCTGAAACTTTGGATATGAAAGCCAAACAGCCTACGTTACTGTACATCACAAACACCCTTGATGTGAGCATCAGGTACATACTGAGTATTTAATGTCTTCCAAGGTGGCAGAGAAGGAGTCGATGAGCTGGTGGGGCAGCTGGGAGAGGAAGCCGATGGTGTCCACGTACAGAACAGTCATGTGACTGGGCAACTGGCCGGCATGGACGGTGACATCCAGGGTGGCGAACAGCTGGTTTCTGGGTTGAAGACCGCTGTCACCTGTCAGTGCTTTGATCAGGGTCGTTTTTCCTAAGACAATGCAAAGCAAACCAAGTGTGGTCAATGTCATCAATCAGAGCCCCAAAGTACTGCGATACCAAACCCATGATCCAGCTTCTCACCACAGTTTGTATATCCTAACACAGAGACGGTGGGGAACTCCTTGTGTTTGCGCTGAGCTCTCAGCAGGTGCCTCTTTTTCCGCAGTTTTTCCAGCGCTGAGCGAATCTTCATCTCCCGCTCCTTCAGCAGTCTCTGCTGGACCTCCAGCAGTGTCTCACCTGCAGGGACCAATGAGCAAGCTGAACCTCCTTTCTGACAGGCTCGGTTACTCTCACATGCAGACGTGTTATCGCTCAGGTGTCGGGGGTGTTACCTGAACCTCCGATGTATCTCGATCCTCCTCCCTGCTGGTCCAAGTTTGCGATTTCATTTTTCAGACGAGATCTGTGACCATCCAGGGGAAACGTTTTCAAATCCAAATGGGTGATAGCAAAAACATAATTTAGATCAAATCTGAAAAAAAAAACGATGGGATATTTGGGGGCAAAGTTACCTTAACAAGGGGATCTCTGCCAGAGAGATCTGTAACTTGGCCTCTTTAGTCCTGGCGTTGCAGCGGAAGATGTGGAGGACCACTGAGTATCTGTCAAACACTTTAACCCCCCAGGCTTCCTCCAGCTCCCTCTGAATGGATTAAAAAATGGCCGTCAGTGCACAACACCTTTCTGAAAGCAGCCATAAAGCGGTGTTCAGATACGCTCACCTCAGACAAAGGAGACAGACGCTCAACATTCACAAACACAGCAGTGATTCCTGCTGTTTGTCGGATTTTCTCTGGAGAAGGGAAAAAGCACAGGAGGATCACTGTAGGACCCACTCACTGACCCAGACTCACAGGTGGACACTACCTGGATATTACCTGTAAGGGACTGGAAGTTGCCTTTGCCGAATATCCTCTTCTTCTCTGGGGTCTTGGTGGAGAGGATGATCTTGTCCACCACTCTCCAGTTGTCTAAAGTGTTCACAAGCCCCACAGCCTCGGCCATCATGAGCTCAGCTGCGAGGAGAGAGCAGTAAAGTGAGTGAGACAAATCCCCCAGCATGCTCCACACACTCTTCATCTGAACGCTTGTTACCGGTGGTCAGGTACTGCTTCCTGCTTCCCCACTTCACATCAGGGTGAACGATGAACACCCTGTGCTGACCCTCTCCGATGCCTGCTTGCTGCTCAAACAGCTCCTCCACCTCGCTGTCATCAATGAACTCTTCACCATCCTCCTCCTCCTCCTCCTCGGTAAATCCTGTGCGGCGACCACTGCCAAACTCATCCGTGTCCCTCAGCCTGCAGGCAGAGAGTGCAAACGTCCTCACCTGCAGGGGGGAGGCGGCTCTCCCAGCAGCTGCATGGTGGGGGGCTGTGAGGAGGGGTCTGCGGGGGGCTGCTGCTCGCTGGCAGCTCTGAGTGCAGGCCCCCAACCACCGATGAATCCCCCTCACTGCTGCTGCTGATGCTGCCATCGGGGCTGCAGTGAGATTCAGACAGTATAAAGTGTAAAGAGAGCCACCAGGTCACACATGAGCCCTCTTCTTGCTCACTGAAGGCTCACAAACTGCATACTGCCACCTGCTGTAGCAAGGAGTGCTGTTCATATACGGTCTAAGTTATCTTCTAACTTAATACATTACAGTGAGGATGAGATATGTATGCGGACAGCGTGTTATCCTGTCTGACACTGTTGTGTCGGACATGTTTTAGTGACATTAGTCCAGAGTGTTGTCTTCCAGGCAGCGTTTACTGACCGGTTGTGTACTAAACCACAGCTTGTTTGTACCAAATGAACGTTTTGAGTTACCCGTAGTTAAATGTGTCGATTAGACATTCATTAAGGGTTGTGTTTGTTGTGTTAATGCCACTGGAGAGAGACTTTGTACCCAGTGCGGGAGGAAAACTCCGCCTTGGAGACTAAACACAGGGAGCAAATCCCCCGGTACACTTGTCTTCTTATTTCCTGTTTACGTCACTTCCTTGGTCATTGAGCGCTCACGATTTTCTTAAAATTTTATTGAAAAATCAACAAGCGATAAATTAAAATAAATCAGCAGACGGAGCGTTTACATTTCCTTCAAATACAAAACAGTTTAAAGTTTTTTAACCCTCGTCTCACACGTTCAGTCTGCCCCCTGCTGGACTACAGAGTCACTGCACCTTTCAAGTTCACTAATGTTTTAACCATTGACAGTATATATATTTTAACTTGGGTCACTTTTAAAATAAAATGTTTCGTTGACGCTTAGCTTTATTCTCGTTTCCTCGTTTAAACTTTGAGAGACTCTGAGAGAATTATGTTCTCATGCTTTTGGTCCATTTGATTTCAGATTATTCTGGAGGTGACGTTTCATTTAAATTTTATTTTAGCTTCACTAAATGTCTTATCTCTGAACAAGTGAAGTATTTGAACGAAGTCCGCTGTGCTGCCCTACACTTTTTTTTTTATTGGTGTCTATGTTGCCTACATCACAGCCTGTGGGTGTGTGACCTGAAAAGAAGTCAAACAGGTTGGACCAATCTCCATAATATGGCTCCCAACAGGATATATGCTGATCTACACTGAGGGGCTGAGTTCATTTAACTTATTTATGCGTAGGGATCTATATATTCGGCGGCACCACTTGTTATTTAAATCAAGAGAAAGACAAGAGAGAGAGAGATAAAGCAGGTACGGCACAACAAGTCGCAACATGACTGACAATGAATTCCTTAAGCGTGAATAGTGCGAATGACTTGGGGTTGTTAAAGGGAACGAGCTGAAGATATGGAGTCAAAGTTAGACAGGCATATAACTCAGTAATGTCTTGGTTTTCCACTTTAAAGAAGATTATATTTTCGGATAGTTGTTGCGTCTTGTGTGCGCAAACGTGCCCGCAGCGGGCGATGCCGGTGCCACTGTGGCGCACAGGACTGCTGCTCTGCTGCCTCGGTTTCTGCGCCAGCCTGGGTAAGAAGACTGTGTCTGGTAATGCATGTTAGAGATTACTACACTGAAACTCACTGCTGATTTAACTTTATCTTTCACTTCTTTCTCTACAGAGGAAGAGTGCGTCTTTGGCATAGTGGGGCAGCCAGTCTCCCTGCCCTGCTTGTACCCTAAATTATTAACCTTTGTTAATTTTTCCATTGAGTGGAGGAGAGATGATGAAGTGGTGCTCAGATCAGTGTGGAAAGAGAATTCAAATGTGGAAGAACTGAGCATCAACAGCGCCACAATCTCAGCTGATGCTGCACGGACTGGAAACTTCTCTCTGGAGCTGCCCATAGTTTATCCTAAAAAGCACTACATGAGTTACAGTCTGTTCATCATTTCAGAGGAGAATCAAAGTGCTGCGCTGTGCACCGTGTGCCTCAGGATTGCAGGTCAGTGTCAGACACACAGGAAGTACTCAGAGGAATATGTAAAGGAACTAACTCCTGTTTTTCATGACTGTTTGCAGCCAGTTTCAGTTCCCCACTGCTGCTGAGGGAAGAAGCAGCGCAGGGAGAGGAGACGGCCTTCCTCTGTCACTCTAGTGGTGGTTTTCCCGAACCTGCAGTTCACTGGCACATCAACCACACCAATGAGCCCCCTGAAGGCTCAGTGAGGACCCTAGCAGCTTCACTCCCAGACTCCCATCTGTACAACATCACAAGCCACCTGAAGGTCAACATTTCCAAAGACTCCATCGTGTCGTGCACCATAGAGAACCTGTCCATGAACGAAACCTTGACATCCACAAGCTGTGAGTGATCTGCTCATTCAGTCATTTAAACACGCCACTTGCTCACTAATCTCTGGTTCTTGTCTGTGTGAAGATGGAGTTGGGGTCAGCCCGGTGGTGAGTCGAGCATCGGAGGCCTTATGGATCTTCAGCACGGCTCTGTGCGCAGTGGTTGGGGTCATGGTGCTGGCAGGAGTCGCCTACCAGATTCACCTGGACAGGATGAGTAAGAGGAAGAAGCGTGAACACCAACAGGCTGACAGAGGTAGGTACCTGCTGCTGGTGACACATCATCACTCGGGCTGTGGGTTGAAACATTGAAATTAGACACAAAATACTTCATAGAATCTACTTTTACAACATAAAATTACACCTATCAAGCTGCTGCAGCCGCCACTGTTTCTGTCAGTACAGAGGGGCTGCAACAGGCCAATCAGTTCTTTTATTCAGTGTCAGTATGGAAACACACTCACTTATGGAGAAATGGAACATTTGGTGAAGACAATGTGAAAGAAATGTTTCTTAAAAATACAGTTATGTTAATTTGGAGCAAGTGCTTATGTGTGTTGTGCTTTTATGACCACTGGAGACCTCATCAACCGTTCAACCTTATTGAAATTGTTTGCTGTCATCAGGATACAAAAGGCGAAATCTGTGCAATGAGGAGACCGAGGCGATAAAGCCGAAGGAGACGGATGTGTAAAAGAGAGGACAAATCCTCACTTTTCTTCTGTTGACGTGATGCAACAGTGCACTGATTTGTAAATATGTTTGTTGTGACCACTTAATATTCAGTAGAAGTGAAATTACTGTAAGTTAACAAAGCATCTCACCACTTCACATTCCTCTGTTTGCTGTTGTTTTAAGCTTTAATAAAGATGCTCAAATTCATTCATGGCGCTGTTTTATTTCAATTTTTTACAGATCTGTTAGTGTTTTTCCATCATGATGAAAATATGACAATGAAGAACTGTATATTTTTTACATTTGAAATGTCCGGAGCCACAATCAAAACAATCTTTCATAAGGCAAAAAACAAGAAAAAAAAACATTTCATCATGAAACTCCAAATGTTCCAATAATATGAAACTGATGATGATCAGAGAGGCTCTAAGCAGCAAATGTTTATTTTTAATTGATGAATAAGGTAAACAATTAACAGCTTATCAAATTTGTCATCCATTTTCTATTGATCAACAACTCATTTTACAGTTACAGTGTCTTAAGAACGTTATGGAGCCCAAAACATGTTGGCACCAGTGAATTACTGAGCATCCAAACTGCACCGCTCGTTTCCACAATTGAGACGATTAAGTCTTGTGCTTCAGGGAGAAGAAGACTCTGTTGCAGCAGAGATCCGTTGCATAGTTTGTGCCGGTACCTTCGTACCTTCTCTCTAAAGGTCGCAGCGTTCAGCTCGATCCTTCCTGCGCAGATGTCACCGTGTAGATGTCATCACGGCGCTGAGCTGTGATTGGGATCTGCTGACGGATGTCGGCTAAATACTGCAGGTCTGGGAACAGAGGTCACAGAGAGGATACAGAGAGGTTTAGTGCAGACTCGAGAAACAACGACATCCATACAAACCCCACTACCCTTCAGATTAATTTTGAATCCTCTGGATAAAAGCGCTAAGATGCTCATTTCAACTATTTTTCTCACAATCTGATCAAAGAATTCAGTCCTGTAGTTAAAATTCTTTAAATCAATACTGTCAAACTGCTCGTCTCACCGATATCAGCATAAATCACGGCCTCCTCTGGTCCAGCCTTTGAGATAACTTCTCCCCTGCAACAACAGATTACAACAAGTCTGCTAAATGTACCACCTACAGACAGGCAGCAGATACGACAGATACAATATGACACCAACATCCAAGGAGAAACACAGCTCATCATCAAGTACATTTACTACTGAGCCACTTGTAGTTGTGAGGTTCTTGTATTTTACTCGAGTAGTTCCATTTTGGCCTGGAATCAATGAATGAGGTGACAGAAACACCACCACTTTTGTCCACAGGTGCAGCCAGAACACAAAATAAAAGTTCCTTGTAGCTGCTTTAAATTTGTTTATAAGATTATTTTCAAAAGTAAAGGTAAACTTCGGTAACCACGAGCTGTCAGTAAAATTTGGTGAAAGTTATATTGGGGATCTGATTCAGATCTGATTTTAAGGTAAGATACATCTGTGCTTTAAGTTAAGTGACACTTTGAATCTTCCTTCAAGTGTCAAATTATACTTGCAATGGAGTATTGTTCCCACGTTAAAAGATCAGTACACTTTTTCTTCATCTTTCCCTTCAAAGACAGACTCTCACATGCTTTTGCATTGCCTACTGACACACTGTATTTGTGTGTTTCTTTCATCCACCTACAGCTCCCTCGATACCGCTGCGTCTGGCACTAACTCACTGCACACTGAACAGTCACACACAGTATGAGCTGGTCAGAGGATACAACAGGCAACATGTTCTTACTGTACCATGGGTTAACAACAGTGCTGTGACCCCAGGCGACATATGAAGCAGTTTCATCTCTGGCAGGAGACGCTGTGGCCACATACACTTGGTTATCAAGCGCCCTGCGAAAGAAGACAATAAAAGACATAACAATTCATCATTATTACACTATTGCACAAAGAAGAACACTTTCTTTGGTGTTGCGTCTGTGATGCAATAATTGTCTGTTCTTTTTCAAGGTACTTCCTGTTGGAAAGAATTATCTCTCTCATTTGCAAGCGTTTTATTATGCTTGGATGTACTTCCTCCTTTCTGTTCCTCTTCCTCCACAGATTTTATTACATCCCCTCATGTTATCTTTTTATATGGAGCAGGATGTATTCATGCATGCAGGTTGGAATATTGTGTTGTCTCATGAGTGACGTAAATCAACTCCAAGTAAGTCCTAATAAGTATTTTTGGGACTCTCAGTCTGACCTCCCCCTCTGAAGGAGCTCCCAGTGGGCTGGACCAGTGGTCATGTTGAAGGCTCCAGGGTAGACCAGCAGCTGACAGCCTGAGGACAAAAAGCACAACCAGATCAACTGTCCTGCACACTATTTAAAATCAGTAGATGCCATGTGAACAGTCTCATCAGCCGCTTACCTTTCCTGCTATAGAGCTGCGCGAGCTCTGCAAACCTCATGTCGTAGCAGATCCCCACGCCCACTTTACAGAACGCTGTGGGAGAAATTACAGAGAGGACACGTTAAAATGATGCTCAGCCAGCTGCAGGAAAGAAGAGAGGAGTCGGCGTGACGTACGTGTTTCGAACATTGACAAACTGTTGCCTGGGCTCAGCGTCTCAGACTCCTGGAAGCGGATTTTCCCTGGAACGTCGATGTCAAAGAGGTGAATCTTAAAAGATGAAGAGAAACACATTGAGGGGGTGAACGTCCTGCCAAAATCTCTATGAGGTCATTAAGTAGTTTAAATAAGTTACTGAAGTTGACGCTCACATACCTTTCTGTGTTTCAGAAGCAGCTCTCCGTCAGGCCCAAACACTGTGCAGCTGTTATACAACTTCCCACCGTCCTCTTCAGGGATGGATCCTGGTGAACAAGAAGTTATATGACTTAATGTTGATTTTTTACATCATTCCTCGACTTTCATCAACCCCCAAAAACCCCCTAGGTGAATCTAACCAGCTGACAGGTAAGAACCAAGTGGCAACAAGCCTTTAAAGTCCAGTACTCTCGTCTGTCCTGCACGTGACTCCTTCTGTGTGTGTTATTCCAAACTGGGGATGAAGTTTGGCTTAAACAGTGCTAGTAGTGCTAGTTTGCTTCACTACTATAACAATCAGTATGTTTGATGTATTAAATCAGGTGCAATAAACCAGGTAGGGCAGAGTTCCTGATTGGATATTTGTGCACCATCAAGTTATTCTGTGATGAGGTTAAATGGAAATGATCTACTTTCTTGTTGTGTCCAATTCTCCACAATTAGCCTCAGCTACCAATATTCCTGATTTCCCACACTCCCACAGAGAGAACTTTTTGACATGTCATAACAGGAAAATCACAGGTGTAATTAATAACAGCTCATGAACCAGACACTGTTCTGAGATCTTTAATTTTATAAGTTACGCCTGTGCTTTTCCTGCTAAATGTCTTTAAAAAGGCCTATTATTGGTTATATGTTCTAAAAGCACTTGATAAAGCCCAAATGTGGATTCATTTAATCAAATATTTAACACTGTGGTTCACATGCAGTGATATCATCATTAATTTAGTTCAACTGCTGTTCAAACTTTAAACGTATCTAATGCATTACATGGAGGGAGGAATACTGATATGCCAGTAGCTACTGTCACTGTTTTAAAGCTGTTACTGTGGCACTAAAAACACAATATTTAATGTGGCTTAACTGAAATTATTTATTAACTCTGCTGTTGGTGGAAAAGGCCTGTTAGCTTGTAACTCTGTAGCACCAATACCAAAACCTAATGCACACACTATATTCCACTGTAAATGGAGAAGAATATATTGCTGTAATGCATTTATACACAATATACACAATTTAAAATACATATACAAAAATAAATAAAAACAAGAGTAATAGTTTCAAAATTAGCACAGTTTTGATTCCACTCTCATTAACTTGAGAACACAAACTACAAGATAATGAAGTAGTCCCGGCTCCCGTACTTTGCTCTGGTCTTTAAGTCTAGTCTCACAATATAACACTGTATTGTAAATATATGCAGGAGCCTTCCAACTGTCAGTATCGACCTGATTATCATCAGACAAACACTCAAATGTACATTTACAGTGGAGGACAATACTTCCACTGGCCTATTGACCACAGAGGTTCCCTACCTCCAACTAGATACACCTTGTTCTCCTTGGCAGCCTCTGACAGCACCTGAGTGGACTCTCCTGGGATCCTCTCAGCGTATGTAGAGAAGAAGCCGGTTCCATATGGAGAATTGAAGCATTCCTGTATTAATGACAGAGCCTCACTTTAAAGCAGCAGCAAAGTGAGTGGTGACTTTAATACTGGACACAGAATATAACAACCATATTCTGGCCTATGGCAGCCAACATTATTAACACTTCAAACATTTGGTCTCCTTAATAAAGTGACCCTGCAAGGACCTTCAAAATAAAAAGTTAGATATTTGATAGGACCATATCCCAGCAGGCTGTACAAGCAGCGTGACCCCCCCCCCCATCAGAGACCCTCCTCCTCCTCACGGCAGCCAGCACCACCTTGCTGCCTTGTCCCGCAGCCTCCTTCACCAGTCTGCGGCTCTGCTCAGGTTGTCCGCCTTGACGCTGGACACCTGCAGCTGGACCACAGCCAGACGGAACTCTGAGGAGCATTGTATTATTGTATTATTACTGTATACCTGTGCAGAGGAGGGGGTTATTAAACTATAATTATTGATAATTGGATGTGCACATTCGTTTAGTACATAAACAGAGAACTTTGTACTTACTGGACATTGCTTTTGTCAAAGTAGACATGTATGCAGAGTAGTGCTGTTTGGTTTCACAGAGCACACAGACAGGGCATGTGATTCCGGGTGGCTATTTGGATTTCAAAATAAGAGCCTATAGTTAGTGTGTAGTCCTGGCACGGTTTTACGACCAACACAACACAGCGATACAAAACGGTGATGATGAACGCCTGCAGATGAATATTGATTGTTCTTGTAAGTTAAAGTCACTCTAGGACCGTTGACAGTATATTATTACTACGGCTACGACACATACGGTAGTTTATGTAAAGTTTAACACTTTTATTGTGAAGTTTGAGGCGAAGTTACGTCAACAGGGGGGCGGGGTTTCTACCGCCAATCCAGGTTCACTTCTTATTGGTTAATCAGCAACAAGTATTATCTTAATTAAAACATAACAGCTGATATTCACAGGGGTTAGTCAGTACTAACAGGTCCTAACTGTAAATATATATTATATTATAATGTTTGGACCTTTATTTAATCCTAATGCATTAAACTGAAGACAAGAGGGACAGACCAGACATTATATTGTTACTGGCTGTTTTGCTTCTTGCAGGGATTAATTGTTTGTTTGTTTGTGTTCAACAAGTTCCCATTTAGGAAAAAAGCAGGTAAACAACAGAAAGCCTGATATTCCTGTTCCACTATGACTAGTTTACAATAGTCTTAAATAAGACACCAGTGTAAAGCTTTTCTTTGTTTTAGTATCTGCACACAAGACAGCAACTGCTTTGCAAATAGCAGCTTTCCAACATAGGGAACATTTGCCCGTGCTCTGTGAAAGGTCTAACCATTATTATAACCATCATTTGAATGTAGGTGTGTCAAATAACAATGTATGAATGACTGTACTTCCACAGGTGCAGTCGAATAATCTCCATTTATTAAAAACAGAAACGCTTAGAAAATAATAGCAGTACAGTAAGGTGCAAATTACACTTGAGACATGTTGCATTTCGACTAGTGGTGACATCCTTTGTCAGTGATGTTACAGAGTAATGTAAAGACTCCTGATCAAGGATGTTTCAGTCAATACTGAAGAATATCACAAAATTACAAGACAATGCATGGATTACACAGGAATGCTATGAACGACTGGAGTGAAGAAAGACCAGATTTATGAGTCTTTAATTCAAGTTTTGGTTTTTGTTGCCCGTATTTTAAATGTGCCATATGTTTTAGGCTGACCTCTCCCCTCTTTAAGTTTCGTATGATGAACGGGACAAACCCTCTCTGGACAGAGGTTTCAACTGGAGCTGTTAGGAAGGTGATGCATCACTTCAGAGGCTTTGACACTCAAAACCAAGGCTGCCTAGCTAGACTGCAATGCAAATGAATAGTAAGGGAGAAAAAAAGCGAGGAAAAGTCGGAAACAGATTTTTAAGATTAGAGGAGAAGCAGCAATGTACTGTGATATGTTGCCACTGCTGGTGCCAATATCACACATCACAGGCATGAGGCCGAAGGCAACAGTGGCAAGCAAACTGAAACTGCTTAGTTTCCACTAATACAATGGACAAAGACAGACTGATCTGAAAACATAGATATAATATAATAACTTTCCTTTTTACAAATCATCTTTTCATTTCTTTCAAAGCTCTGCCTAAAAGTGCAAAGCACAGTCCTAGTTACAGCAATCGTTTCTTTCTGAATATGTCAAAGTTAGGATGTTCAATTACAGCAACAGCCTTCCAGATGCTAACATAATGGATTTATATCACCTGGACATTTTTATTAAGTTCACTGGGGGAAATCATTCAAATACTGAATGTGAATACAAGGGAAAAATACTGAGGTGCTCAGGCTCTTAATGACTACAATCACCAAACCTGCTGTTGTAATATAATCCAGAGGGGCTGTGAACAATGCTTTCTGAGAGCTACAACACACTGCTATGAGATGAGGTTAAATTCATTATTATATGTGAAAGCAGGGAATAAATTATCTCCCAGAAACTCTGTAAAAGACTTACTTCTTACTCTAGAAAGAAAGGGGAACTTCAAACCGTGTTAGCTGGTTAAGAAGCCAGCTAAAGTTTCACTGCATATTCTTATAGGATATGCTTTCAAAAGGACATTGCAAAGGTCTGTGCTGATATAGAGCAGTTTACACATTATATACACATCACATATTTATAAACATCCTCAAATAATTTCTATTTAAGGCTGCCTGCTTGGAAAATAAAAGTTATCAAAAACAGTTGTTGCGGTAGGAAACCTGCCTCATGTGCCAGCACTGTTTTTTCTTTTTGGGATGTGCGTCTCAATGTTGGAGCTAGCTAACAATGATCGTTAAATCTACTCTGAACGCACCTGAAAAGTAAACTAAGAGACATGACTGAGCTGCGGTACTGTCCACTGCAAAACAAATGGGCCTTGAGTTAAAGGAGTCGAGTAATGATCGGTCAGTACGCTACGTTAAGGCCAGAGGGAAGTTGTCAAAGTGGAATTGCATTGTAATGAGATCCCATGTTTTAACAATAATAATAAAAAAAAAAACATACAGTAAAACCAATATTGTTAAATTAGTGTAAGAGAATGGTTGGATGACTGCGGAGCACCTAAGTATTTCATCACACACAGCCTGTCCCACAGGCCTGCAGTCAGTAGTGTGCCCTCATGTCCCAAACACAGACAACACAGGGCTTCACAGTCAACACTGCACTGGACCCGTCCAGGAAGGAGGACAGCCGAGGGAGAGCGGGAGACGGTTTCACTCCTGGCAGACAGAGACTCTTCTTACAGCTTGTGTCACGGCTGCCGTCGTCTCCCTTTACGAACTCTCAAGAGCATCTAGGACTTTCATGATCTGCTGTTTAATGACCTTGGTGGCGTCGCCTGCGTTGGGTATCAAATATCTGAGAGCGTGGAGGGAAAGAAAACAGAGGAAACCGCAGTGAAATTAACAAAAAACTACCAGCAAAAAGATATTCTCTGTTGAGCTTCTGTAAAGAGTTTCCATAAACATTAGTTTTTATTTCCTAAGATAACTAAATGTGGGTCTAATTAAGCCTGTTGCCCTTTCTAAAATGTCCTTTTAGAGAGCCAGACTAACCATTTCCCCCTCCTTCCAGTCTTTATGCTGAGCTAAGCTATTTACCTGCTGTCTTACCCTACTTTATATACTCGTTAATTTAAAGTGGTATATATCTAGATGAAAGATAGGCATGGTAATACCTAGTCAGATAGATAGTTATCATTTTAATTATAATATATATATAAGAAGCAAGAACAAGCAGCTAAATAGTGTCTTTTATTTAAGAACATGCTGTAATGTTGGCAAACTGTGTGCCACTAATATGTCTGTGACAGAAACCTTAAACAACCTCAAAATGACACCGCTTGCTGCACTGCTTTAAAATAACATGCAATTAGGGCCCTGTCTGATCATTAAGATTTTAAATTTAAACCTCTCAACTGCCGATATCTCCACTCCAGCTGAGTTGTTGCTGCCAAACTTGAACGTGATCAGTTCTGGGTGCTTCTTTTTGGATGTGATCTTCACCACAGAGTTCAGTGCTTGTCTGGACTGGATGTAGGCGAAGCCTTTCCTTGAGGCGATCTCCCTCAGGCAGTACATGTGAGTTGCTGTGATCAACAAGTGGCTGGAAAGCAACAGATTAACAGAGTCATTGTTAGGATTCATGGATTCCTGAATTATTGCAGAGCCTTCTGTTCACTCATGTTTAAGGAAGTGGAGATTAGTCACAGTTAAATGCAACTTCTTGCCCAATCCAAGCTTCCACGCCCATGACAGTCAGGGGAGATGTGTGTCAGGGTGTCATGTGAGCAATAGTTTAACTCACATTAATAAATTGATTCAGGCAGCGACTCACCTGGGGAACATGTGACCAGTTTCTTTAACCTCATTACATGGGATGTGATGCTTTATATCAGGTTTGTTTATCCAGGTCTGAATGTTGACAATCTCCTTCCTGTCATCGTCTGACATGGATGAGCTGTCGATCTCATCTGTCGGGGGCATTACATACAGGTTACCATTCAGTTTTTCAAAATAAAAGTTCTCACATTATTTAAATATTTTAAATATGTTCAGCCTTATTTTAAAGTGGGAATTCACCTGTATCATACTCCTCTTCATCACCAATACTGAAGACGGGCTTCACCCCTCGGTAAGGTTTGCCAACACGGTCACTGCTGCTCACGTGCCTACAAACGGAAAGCAACAGGTCAACTTAAAACGCCACATTAGCGCTGAATGAAGGACGTGAAGACACGTTAATGCCTGTGATGAAAAGTCACTTTAAATACACATAACAGCAAGGCTGCACACAAATAGAGATGGCATGAAGAGATCCAGGCTGCAGTAAAAAAATCTTAGCCCACTAAGGCCAGGTTATGCTGTTAAATATCAAGAAAGAGGTTAAAAGAGACATTTATACTCGAATATGATATTCAGGGCTATTTGCAGAAAATCATAGCGTTGCTTTTATCTTTCATAGAGGACTCATGTTTCTGCATAGCCCTGGTTATCATCTAAAAGAACAACAATGAAATGGAAAGACAGACTGTTAGGAGCATCTCCAAGCAAATAGCAGTGAAGCTGAGGTTCTCCCTAAAACACCTCGCTTATTCAGACCGGAAAGAGACGACGGCATCAGTGAGTTGTGGATGTAAAGATGGCTCGATGCTTCCTGAGAGGCCACAGCAGCTTCAGTGGTGCGAACTAAATAGCAGTGCCGAGTGTTGTTAGTGAAAGCATGAAAGACAGATCCTAAACATCTCGTACACAGCCTGCCTACACAACGTGTAGTGCTGTTACATGATACGTGAGATGTTGATACTAAAGCATGCGGTAATGTGACACAGGCTAACGCTCCTACAACCCAGGGGACCGGTGCGGTTCTACAGCCAGTGGACATGCTGGTGACAGACAGCTCGATGTCAGGGAGCTCTTACCGATCTGGAGTCACCTTCTCTGGCCAGGGCAGATTGAAAGATATTCTAGCATGGAATAAGGCACAAGGTAGGTGGTGAACTTAAA